AGGGGGGGGTGGGGTGTCTGGGGTGTAAATAATTAATATATATTATATTATAATTTAATATTTAATAAATCTATTTACCAGCTGATTTTTGAAATAATTAGACAAATTTGTTAGTTTTGAAAAGTAATTCTTAAATGTAGGTTTTGTGTATTGTTCCCTTTAAATTAAGTTTTCAACAAGGAAAAAAAGTTAAATTATCGATCTTTTTGTATATAAATAATTTCTTTTCTATGTGAAAAATTGAAGAAAAAATTAAAATAAATAAATAACAAAATGAGCTCTTTAACTCTAATCAAACTTCTCCTTCTAAGTTCCTTCTGTGTTTCTTCTCCAAACGCGTTTGGAACGAAATAATTATATATATGGACAGAAAGAAACTTCCGAATTCATTCACAGACTCAATGTCAGCGTGTGTATATAAACTGAATTCTTAATCAGTATTTGTAAAAGTTCACTATTTTAAGGTACTATTGCAAGAATTGCGTTTCGTAGGATCAAATCGAGTATGCATGTCGACGGTCTAAGACAACTGGGGGAGGCTGAGAGCCGCCGTCATCCGCTGGGAGGAGCTTTGGCAACTCTTTCATGCCCCCTCCAGAAATTCAAGTATAAGCTCCATAGCATCGGATTTCGGTAGCAGCTCCCGTTGGGATCCTTCATCACGCCTCGAATTTTCTTCATACTTACCGAGTCCAATCAAATCCATAGGTTATATCAGAGTTGACAAAGGAAACTCTGATCTTTTATATATTGAGAATTCCAGTCCTGCATTTGATCTTGAAGATTTGTTGGAGGCTTCTTGGGAATTCATTGGAGACGAGGGGCTTTCATTCAGTACTACGTTCGCAGCTACACTTAGCAATGGAACTACAATTGCGTTAAAGAAACTGAAGATAGGGAGAGTTGCAAACGAGGTGTTCGATGAAAGGATGGCGATTGTCAGAAGTATCGATAATGAAAATGTAGCTTCACTATGGGGTTACTTCTTTGTTGAGGATGGTGTGTGGTGGCTGCACGATTACTTCAGTCAAGGGAGTGTATCTGCAATGTTACACGGTATGTTAACCCCTATATATTCTCCAATTTTCGCTTCTTTGCTTAAATTCAATATCTTTACTCGAATTTAGGAAAGTTATTTAAAGTAATGTTGTTTCAACTCCTTACTTGCAAAGGGGATAGGAAAAGCGAGAGAATGTATAGAACTTAGTGTTGGATTTTGTACTGATGATTAGATGATAAATAATAAAAGAGTGAGGCCAATGCTGTTCCGCTCTGGCATCGGCCTATTTGTTTCAGTAAACATGTGTTCTACTCTATAAGAGCCACGTACACAACACTTAATTATCATACCTTGTGGAGGTGAGATTGGAGGCTCATATAGGCGGTAGGAATGATGATTTGTGGGTACATAGAGTTAATGTGTGAATTATTGGAATGATTTAACTAAGATCAATTATCTTTAAGATTTACTCTTGCATTAAGAGGGGTGATTCTATAAATCCAGGCATGTGATTAAAGGATCATTGTCATCATGGTCACCGAGGGATAGATGCCATCATTCAAAATTATGAGTGAATGGGTTAAATGTCTGCGCTTTGGCTGCATAGAACTGTGCCAAACCAGAACAAAACGGAAGACTATAAACCAAATTTAATTGAATATATATTTGTAACTCTTTGGTTGATCTTCGTACATGGGATGTATTATGTTGATGTAATTTCTTATAATTCCAGGGAAAAGAGGCGGTAATCGGGTTCATTTAGACTGGGAAACACGGATTAGAATTGCGGTTGGTGCAGCAAGGGGTCTTGCTTATATTCACACACAATGTGGTGGAAAGCTTGTCCATGGAAATATAAAAGCATCGAACATTTTCCTTAACTCGCAACAATATGGCTGTGTGGCTGATTATGACTTGGAAAGCCTGATAAATCCAGGTGCCAAACCACTTAATCGAAATTCCGGGTACCGTGCCCCAGAAGTTTACGGCAATAAGCCGTCCCAGGCATCTGATGTGTACAGCTTTGGCATCCTGCTGAACTTCTTACAGGAAGGTCCCCAAAGCACGAGTCGTGCACATAAAAGCTTTGGCGATTGGGCGCATCTTCATGCTCAAGACGGATTGAGTTTTCTGGTCTACGACGTACAACTTCTAAGAAATCCCATTGTAAAACAAGCAATGTGGAACATGTTTGAAATTGCAATGCCTTGTCTAGCAAAGAAACCAGAAAACAGACCAAAGGTGTCTGATGTTGTGGAGATACTGGAGCTTATATTAGTGCCGTAATTGGACAGCATAATTGGAAATCACTACTTTGTAAAATCTGAAATCGATTTAGTATATATGTTAGAGTTATTCTTCCCAAATTCACCACTCTTCAGATTTCAGTTCTAGTTTCTGTTCAGGTTTGGTATGCCTTTTGTAAGTTGAACCCGTTGAACGGCATCATATAAAGTGAAACGATTAGAGAGAAGACTTCAACATGCTCACTTGTGTACATGGCCGATTTCATTTTTCAGATCAGAGTCACAACGTACAGTTTTCATAAATAAGCGGCAAGACTATCTGAGGATGAAGATAAATAAGTATGAAAAGTTCTTTTAGGTATGTCTAACAACATTAGTGAACACGTAAAGGATATACCGAGGCAATGCAGAAGCTAGTATTTGTTGAGGATGGTAATCTTGTATTTGAAGTGATGGATTTGTTGAAGGCTTCTGCTCAGGTGCTTGGTAGGGGAATATTTGGAACTTCATATGTGGCAACACTGGATGATGGAACCATGGTAGTGGTAAAGAAAATGAAGCAATTGAATGTAAAGTGAAGAATTTCAGATGCAAATGGAGGTCACTGGAGGAATCTGGCACCAAAATATTGCAGCATAATGGGAACACTACTATTCTAGGGATGACAAGATCATGTTATTTGATTACTATAAATAATCAGGGGAGTGTATCTGTCATGCTACATGGTGATTAAAACATCATATGCGCCATTGCAGTTCTGCATTTTCTTTTTTCATGTGAAATATAATAAGTCCACAGCTTGGCCCCCAGACATTACCAGAGCCAATGTAGCCCTGAAAAAGCAGAATAATCCAAATAAAGCTAGATGTACATTCTATCTTGACAACAAATTTGACACTCCCTGGAAGAAAGTTGGACAATGATGGAATGGATGTGTTAAAAATCAAAGGTGACAGTTTATGGCATGCTTTCACTCTTTGCATTAAATGCAATCATGGTTAGCATTTAATGCATTCCATGATTGCATTTAATGCATAGTGGAATGCATGAATATTCTTTATCTCATTTTTTGTCAACAAAGGTGGCTACACGGTGAAATTTATTTTGCCACCCTTATTTTCAAAATCAAAAAGTGGGTTTACCTTCTTTGCCAAAACATGGCTCATGGTGTTGGGAATTTATTTAACATGTATAGTGGAAAATAAAATAAATTTCAATTCCCACCAAGGATTTTCTTTGTATTTAGAAAGAAATTGTGAAGAAATTATACATTCTGTAGATTCTGCAAACTCTTTTGCTGATCTTGGAACACGAACAATCACGATCTGCAATTCACAATTATCAAACCTCCAATGCAAATCTACACAGTGAACAAGAATGAGAGAACCTTCGTTACATGATCTCTTCTTCATATAGATAGATATAGGATCTATGATGCAATTACTTAGAAGTACATTTTGTGCTACAGCTCTTCCCGTCCGATAGAAAAGCATCCCAAAACTCCAATTAAAAGAAAAACAGAACCTTCCACCGTGTACAAAATAATTTTTCATTGATTAAAGGAGGGTGGTACTTCCGAGATTTTATTAATATGTCATTACTTGTGGCGGATGAATACCCTTTTTACATTGAGGAAATAATGAAAGTAGTAAATGAGGAAGTACTACTTTACTTACAATGAAAATAAATGATAATGGACAAAAATAAGAATAAAGAATAAAAAAATTCATATTCTAATGCAGGACAGTCCATTTCTATCAATCTGTACGAGTGCCATAACATGTCGTGGTAGGTCAGTTGCTCCATATATCTGATATCGCCGATGATCCCAACCTTCTTCAGCAAGAGCATCGCAACCTGATTCCCCACTCTGTAGATGTGGAAAATTGTATCCATGTTGAATGATATGATGTCTATGATCTATCTAAGTATGTCCTGAATAGTCCGCGGTCCTCCTCCTCTAGTGATACAGTGAGTAGCAACTATAGAATCTGACTAAATCCAAATGTCTGAAAGACCGAGTCCTCTAACTAGTAAAATCCCATCTAGAATAGCCCTGAACTCTACCTCTAATATCATGCACAATCCATACGAAGCTGAGAAAGCTCTAATACATTAACTCATGTGATCTCTTATGATACCTCTCCCGCTCACAAAATCATCATTGACGCATCCATCAGTATTGATCTTTACGTATCCGACTGATAGAATGAACCACCAAACCAAAACGGGGGAAGATGAGGAAGGGGGGTCCAAAGAAATTCCAAAGATGGGTGCAAGTGTCAAATAGTCTTCCCTTATGAAGAAAACGGATCATGCGATAAACCCTCCAAATGATCGTCTAGCCTCTATACGGATCCTCCTATGCTTTGTATCATTCCTCTCGGTCCAAAGAAACCAAAATATCAGTAGAGGAATAATAGTGCGAATGTGTCTACAATGAACATACTATCTAGAATACCGCCATCTCTGGCTGACTCCCTTTCCTAAACTCATATGAATCTGAAAATTATCCCCAAAATGCTGCCATACCTAATCGAAAATGCTATTGCCAGTAAAGATGTAACCGATAGTCTCAGTTTCAGAACAGCACTGGCAACGAGAGGCTAACTGGCATCTACAAAAATAAATTTGGTAGCTGAGTACAGACAGATTGAGGTTTCTTTTTTCTTGTACTAGCAAAGAATATGAATTATTTTCTGTTATATTTTTTTGAAACCTTAATACTTTAAACTTAACCCGGTCCAATATTTAATTCATCCATTAATTAAATTTGGTCCATGAATTAATTAATTCGGGACTATTAACAAGCAACTCAATTAATTAACGTACAACACTTGTTAATTGATTAATTGATGAATCTCATTCTTTTAATTCTTCTTTTGTGTGTGACCCATCAGGTTCTCAATCACGATACATAATGAAGTGAATTATTATTTTTATCTAATCAAAATCGATAAATTAAAATATCCCTTTTAATTTATCATACATTCACATTCATCGTCCTAGATTGACATCTAGTAATATGTCAGGCAATACATGTAACGAAAAATGGTACATGGTATGAAATAACCAAACTTGTTTGTTTACCATCAAACTATAATCTTTCGTCAATATAATCCGATCAATTATGAGATATGAATAGGTGTTAATCTCAGTTATCATTCATATCTTTTATCCCACTATTAAGTTCATATAAGTCTAAACCTCTTTTTCGACTTATGAATACACCTTGGCCAAGGATTTCGTTATTAAATTAATTAAATGAAATGTAGATCATAATCTCTTACTATCTAAGAGTGACGAATCCTCTATTGATCATTCACAACCTTAATATGATTCTTGACATACCCGGACGATGCCGTATTAGTGACATTTGGCTGAGCAACATCCAACATCACTAAAGTATAACCGTCCTCATATAAGGTACTATAATGATCTCAAGTCGAAGGACCAATTCCACTACCGAATGTTAGATATTAACCACTGACACTCAAATAGTTATCCATGTAGAATCTTCCCAGTGGGTCTCCAATATTTTATTCTATAACAAAACATTCACGTGTTCATTTAAGTGTCACCACACTTCAGTTTATGAGATCAGTTACTTACTTCACAAGTAAGAAATACCACACGTGATAGTCTATTCGTAATAAAGATATCCATATCTCATCATGACATACGACCTTGGATGATTTAACATTTAGTATATACATTAAACATAGAGTGTTAGTGTTGAGGAACACTAATTGTTTAATGTTTCTAAACTTACTACGAATTCTATTATTTAATTTATTAGAATATTAATTCAATTAAATAATAGATCTTGCCATAAATATACATTAATTATTTATTAAAAGTGTTTATGTCCAAAGTTGATTGGACCTAAAACATAACACTTACAAACTCTCACTTGTATTAGATCCAATCACTTTTGTATCGTATACATGAAAATCATGTTTGTGCTGCAACAACTCTTTGTCAGTAGATTTGAAATTTAATAACTTGTGGAAATTCATTTTTTCTTTACGTCATTTCATTGTATTATCTTTCCTGATGAGATAATACCGCCTTAACACATGTTTAGATCATTGATGAGACCTTAGTTCCTTCGTTTGCACGATGGCTTCATTGTTATCACAATGCAGAAGTGTGTGATCAACAATGTTAGGAACTATACTAAGTTCATTAATGAACTCCTGATCCAGATCACAACTTTTGTTGCTTTGTAAAGCAATGTGTACAAGGCTTCCATTATTGAATCAACGGTTATTTCCTATTTGGAACCTTTCCAACGCACCGTTTAAAAGTAAATCAATATCCTATTTGAGATATGCTATTATTCTAGTCTGACTAGAAGTTAGCATCAGTTTATCCATGAACTCTCAATTCATTTTCTTCATATAAAATCTTCTCAAGATTTTATTTATATAAATTGCGATGAGTTAAGTAATCATTTAGATCTATCTCTATAGATCAACTTGCTTCTCCTATATCTATCACGGAGAATTATNTATCTTCATTCTTGATAAAATCAAACATTTTGATTGTCTCATCAAAGTGAAGATTCCAACTCCTAGAGGCTTGTTTTAATCCATAAATGGATCAATCAAACTTGCATACCTTGTTGACTTCTTTGGATTCAAAACGTTCGGGCACCGGTTTCTATTTCGTGTTTCCGCAGTTGACGGGAGTTTTGGGGTGAATAGTGGTAGCCCTAAAGTGGTTAATTCACATCTCTCGATATTTATGGACCTTCTGATGCGATCTACTCGGTATTGTGGTCTTTGCCTTTTATTATTGCAATTAAAACTGTTGTGCACAATAATCATTTTTTCTCATTAGAAGTCATCTTGTGGGGGTGATGTTAGGATTGTGGTTACCGTGAATGGATAATCATTGCTTGTTACTAGACCTAAGAATTGTTAATTATTTACTTTGATTTTTTTGTGAATTTGCTGCCAATTAAAATTTTTATTATTAGAATTGCATGTGACCTTAGGAAAGTTTATTTTACTATTCTGTATGAATTATGTTGGT